AGAATTCATAATTTCATATAAACAACTTAACATTACTCTTTAGGGTAGTAGAAGAAAATACTAAGCCCAAAGTTAGCAGTTGGAAGAACTTAACAAAAATCACAGGAAAAACATGATATAGAGACTAAAAAAAAATACAAAAGAGAAATAAAACTAAGAGTTGGCCTTATGATAAGACAAACAAAACTGATAAACCTTTAGCTTGACTAAGAAAAATAGAAGGCCCAAATAAAATCAATAATGAAAGATATTACAACTGATACCAAAAGAATACAAAACATCATAGGAGACTACTTTGAAATATGCCAACAAATTGAATAACCTAGAAGAAACAGATTCTTAGACACAGACAATCTACCAAAATAGAATCATGAAGAAATAGAAAATCTGAACAAACCAATGAATAAGGAGTTTGTAATAAGGTCACCCATCAAAGAAAAGCCCAGGATCTGATAACTTCATGTTTGAATTTTACCAAACATAAAAAACTAATATCCTCAAACTTCTCCCAAAAAATTGAAAAGGTATACTTCCATAACCTTGAAACCAAGTCCAAACAAGGACATAAGAAGAAAAGAAAATTATAAGCTAATATTATTGAACAAAGATGCAAAAATCCTCAACAAAACACTAGTAACCAAATTCAACAACACAATAAAAGGGTCATCCACTATGAGCAAGTAGAATTTATCCCTGCAATGCATGGATGGTTCAACATATGCAAATTAATCCATGTAATCCATCATATTAACAAAAAAAGGAACAAAAACCATACAATCATCTGATTTGATGCAGAAAAAAGAGTTTGACAAAAATCTTTTCAAAAGGATAGTCTCTTCAAGGATAGTAGATTAAAGGATAATCCCTTCAACCCTATTAAGGGATAGTCTCTCTAACAAATGGTGTTGGGAAAACTGAGTATTTACATGCAGAAGAATGAAATTGAACCCTATCTCACACCATATACAAAACTCCACTCAATATATATTAAATATTTAAGACCTGAAACTATGCAACTATAAAAGAAAATTTAATAGAAAAAAACTACATGTCATTGGTGTTGGGGCAATGATTTCTTTTTTTTTAATCTGACCCCAAAAGCATAGGTAAAATAGGCAAAAGTAAGTAAATGGTAAATGGGATTGCATAAAACTGAAAAGATTATGCACAACAAAGTAACAATGGTGTAAAGAGACTTACTAAGATTGAGAGAAAATGCTTCTAGGTTACATATCCAACAACGGGGTTATATTCAAAATATATAAGGAACTCAACTCAAAACAAGAAAGTAAATAACCCAATTTAAAAGTAGACAAGGGACCTGAATAGACATTTCTCAATAGAAGACATATAAATTGTTAACAGATATTTGGAAAAAAAATTATCAACATTGTTAGTCATTACAGAAATGCAAATTGAAACCAAAAATCATCATTTCACATCTTTAAGAATGACTATTATCAAAGAAGAGTTATAGCTGAGTTGTGGTGGTGCAAACCTGTAATCCCAGCAGCTCAGGAGGCTGAGGCAGTAGGATCATGAGTTCAAAGCCAGCCTCAGCAAAAGAGAGGTAGGTGCTCCACAACTCAGTGAGACCCTGTCTCTAAATAAAACATTTTAAAAAGGGATGGGGATGTGGCTCAATGGTCAAGTGCCTCTGAGTTCAATCCCTTGTACCCACCCCCCCAAGAAACAAAGATTAGTTGTAAGGATATAGAGGAAAGTTTTGGTGAGGATATAGAGGAAAGAGAACCTTATTCACTATTTATGGGACTATAAATTAGTACCACTATTATAGAAAACTGTAAGGCAGTTCCTTAAAAACTTAAAAGAGAGCTACCATATTATTCAGCAATCTCCCTTCTGGGTATTTATCCCAAAGATTTGAAATCAGTCTGTGAAAAAGATATCTGGTCTCCTCTGTTTATTGCATCACTATTCAGTCACCAAGCTGTGAAAACAACATAAGTGTCCATCAACAGATGCATGGATAAACAAAAGGAGGTCTTTCATGCAGTAGAATACTATTCAACCTTTAAAAAGAAGAGTATTTGTCATTTGGAATAATGAATAGAATTGGAGCCATTATGTTAAGTCAGTGTATAATAATAATTTTTAAAATGTTAAATTTGTTTTTAAAATTTTTAAAGATCAATTCAGAATCAATGAAAGACTCACATGTAAGATCTAAACTATGAAACTCTTAGATGTAAACATAGAGAACAAGTTCTTTGACATCTGTCTTAGCAAAGATTATTTGAGTTTGATCCCCAAAGTAAATACAACAAAAGCAAAAGCAAGCAAACGGCATTCATCAAAATAAAAAGCTTGTACACAGCAAAGTAAATAATCTTTAGAATGAAAAGACATCCTACAGAATAGGAGAAAATATTTTCTTTTTTCATATTTTTATTGATGAATTATAGTTGTACATAATGGTAGGATTTGTTGCTACATTTTGGTACAATGCACATAATATAACAGTATAATGTGGCCAATATCATTCCCCAGTATTTCCCCTTTCCCTCAAGAAAATATTTTTAAGTCATCTGTCCAATAATGGGTTCAAATCCATAAAATGTAAGAAGTTCAAATAAATCAACAGCAAGGAAACAAATAGTTTGATTTAAAAATGGACAAAGAACCCAAAAAGTCATTCCTCAACAGACACGGTATACATGGCCAACAAGTATGTGAAAAGGTGGTCAACATCACTAATCATCAGAGAAATGCAAGTTAAGTCCACAATGAGATATCATCTGTTAAAATGACTATTATCAAAAATGCAAGAGGTAAGCCAAATTGGCCAAATTATATTGTTCTATTGTGTGCATGGACTGATATGTAACAACAAATCCCACAATTATATATAAGTTTAATGCATCAATAAAATTGTGGAAAAATTGTAAGAGGTAACAAATGTTGTAGATGATGTGGAGAAAAGGAAACACTGTTGGTGGGAATATAAATTAGTATAGACATCATGAAAAACTTTGTGGAGTTTCTCTTAAAAATTGCAATTAAAATTGCCTTATGATCCAACAATTACACTTGTAGGTAGAGCCAAAGAAAATGAAAGTAGTGTCCAGGAGATATCTGTGTTGTTATATTCATCGAAGCATTATTCATATGAGCCAAGGTATGGAATCCACCTAAGTGTTCATCAATGAATACACAGATAATGAAAATGTGGTATGTATACACCATGGAATACTATTTTTACCTTATAAAATGAAAGAAGAAAATCCTGTCACTTGTGACAACATGATTGAACCTGGAGGTCATAGGCTAAGGGATATAAGCCAGGCACAGAAATAATCAGTTATATGTGGAATCAAAAAAAAAAAAACAGTGGAACTACTGGAAGCAGAGAGTAGAATGGTGATTACCAAGGGCTGATGTGGGGTGGAGAAAGGTAGGAGATAGGGATTTGGGATAGATGTTAATCAAAGGACACAAAATTTAATCTAGACAGGAGGGAAACATTCAGGAGATCTATGGTGATTATAGTATGTATACTCAAAAACTACCGAGAGCAGATCTTGAATGTTCTGTTACAGAAACAAGGTGATAAGTATGGAGATGACAGTTAATTAGCTTGATTTCATCATCCTACAATGTATACATATATCTAAACATTATTCCATACATATGTATTGTCAATTGAAAAATAAATAACAGTAAAATATAAATAAATTAATAGATAAGTTCACATGACATTTCATTTAGTTCTACTTGGGAAAGAGGGAAGGAAGGAAGGAAGGGAGGGAGGGAGGGAGGAGGGCAGGAGAGAGATTTGTGTGCTCCTGGGTAGCAGGAAGACAAACTTACTACTTATCATGGTGAGGCTCCAAATTGGGTCTAAAAGTCACCACTAGCACATAGTAGAGATTCAGGAAAGTTCTGTTGAAGGAAGGACTTAGTGAGCAATCTTCTCCGACTTCTTTTCTTAGCTAAGGCCACTTTCCTTTTATTCCCTACCCATAGGGGGCTGATAATGGGGTTCCTGTGTATTCACAGAACTGCAGTTAAGAACTACTTCCTTATCTCTATTTCCTCCTGAGAAGAAGGTGGAGCAAATCCTCTGTGCATTCCAAATCCTCACTCAGATGTACCTTGTCAGGGTTAAAACAGGCAGGCTGGTGCATGAAGAGACCAGTAAGCCGCAAGATAATAGCTCCAGTTCTTGGAATGTAGAATAGCTGTTCAAATAGCTAAGTCAGGAACTTTTTTACAAAAATAAACTTCCATCAATTCTGGTTTTATTTTACTTTGTCTGTAAGCTCAAGGATGGTGTTTGTTTTGTTCAAAGCAGCTGTCCTAGGTGTCCATAGAAGGACAAAAATGTGGATTTGAACATTTTGTTTTCTATGCTTGCCTAAATTAGGGAATCACAAATTCAAACAACCTCAAGGACCAGTCGTGATGTGTGGGGAGGAGATTGTCATGAATTGGGCCATCACCCAGCTCCACTGATGGTATTCCAGTAGGGGTCTTCATGTACAGTTGCCAGAGTTGCTAGATACCTCCCTCTTTGTCCCCTCCCTCCTTTTCCTTATTCCACTGTGGTTTGAAGGTGTCCCCCAAAGTTCACAGAAAGTTAATCCCCAGGCAACAGTGTTGGGAGATGGCCCTAATATTAGGTCACAATGGCTGTGCATGGGTTAGTCATTATCACAGAAGTGTGTTAGGTATCAAGAAAGTGGATTTGTTTAAAAGGCTAGATTAGCCCTCTCTCACTTTCACCCTCTTTACTCCTTCCAGCTTCTACCATGGGATAATGTGGTCCAAAGGCCCTCACCAGATGCCAGGGCCATACTTTTGGAATTCCCAGCCTTCAGAACCATGAGCCAAATAAATCTCCATTCTTTATAAATTATTGAGTCTCGAGTATTCTGAGATACAATACAAAATAGATTAAGACTCTCTTCCTTCAAGATAAGCTGAGTATCCAGATTTTCTTTGTGAAATACAATTTTAAGTGCTACAAAAAGATCCAATTTGCTTTTTAAATACCTTTATTGAGATATGGTTTAGATTCCATATCATTCATTTATTTACATTATAAAATACAGTTGGGAAACCATCACCGTGATCAAATTTTAAAACATTTACATCATCCCAATAAGAAATCATGTGCCCATTAGCAGTCACCACCTCATTCTCCCTCCCCTCATCCAGCCTAGACAACCACTATTGTGCATTCTGTCTATAGATTTTCCAATACTGAACATTTCATGTAAACAGAATTGTACAATAAACGGTCATTTGTAACTGGCTCCTTTCATTCGCATGGTGTTTTCAAAGTTCATCCATGTTGTAGTATGTATCAAAAATTCACCTTTTATGACACAGTTGTTAAATAATATTCTGTCAAATGGTCACATCATATTTTGTTTATCAAGTCACCACACATAGAATACCCACATCGCTCAGCCTAAGTAACCAATTTGTCATCCTGTATCAGTCTCCTGGCTGGTCCTCCTGTTCAATCCTCCCTACCTCCTGCTGACAGGGGATGTGAATGCAACCAATCATATGGCCCAGGTTGGAAAGTTTGAGATAATTTTTCTAAGATAAGGTTTTGAGCATGTCACTCCTCTATCTTCTCCCCAGTGAGGACATTGCCCTCCTCCCTGGCTTTCAGATGGAGTCTTGTCCTATGGGTCCAGCACATAAACTCCTTCAAGACTTGGCCGCCCCACCCTCCCCTGGTCACCACCCTCCCCATCACTCTCTGCCTTTGAACACTGAGGATGTCCATTCCTCCATTCCTTTGCTCATTCTGTGACATTATGCAGATCTTCTCCTCCATTGGGTGGTAAACTCCTTCTGACCAGTGGCTGCTCCTCTCTATTAGTGTCTCTATCCTCAGGGCTTGGGACACAGTAAATACGGGATAAACGTCTGATCATGGAACACACCCAGGCTGTTCCTCCATCTAAATTACCCTTCGGTGCACAGTCCAGCTCATGTTTCACAGTAGCTCTTCTTGACTTCCCACCATTTAAAGCAACACTGATTAGTTAGTCTCCTCCTGGGCCCAGATGGCACTTAGTTCCATTGTGTTATACTCATACCACAACTGTCATCATGGTATCACCCCAGAAAGCCGCATTGTGCTCCTTGCAGTCAATATCCTCATGCCCACCTGAGGCAACCAGCAGTCCTTCTGACAGCACAGTGTTGGCTGTTGTCAAACTTCATGTCATTGGGCTAAGGCAGAACACACTGTTTCCTATCTGTCTTCATTTGCTCAGCAGAACATCTCAAAGATTCATCCATGCAGTTGGGTTTATCATGAATTCACTCCTTTTGTCCCATTTCCAGCTCAGTGACTGTGGAATCAAGTAGAATCAATTAAACAGATTCACTTATTAAAAGTGCTTTAAAACAAGGAGACTGATAACAAGTCGTGCATTATTCATTAGTAAAATAAGGAAAAAAAAAAGAAGCCTTGTTATTTGTCAACAGTGCTCTGGGAGATGGAAAAAGAAAAGGACCTACCACCGTCTTGCATGTTGTAGGTCTCAAGATCAAGAAAGAAAGGAGCGAGCCGGGCATGGTGCTGCAAGCCTGTAATCCCAGCAACTCAGGAGTCTGAAGCAGGAGGATTAACAAGTTCAAAGCCAACCTCAGCAACTTGGTGAGACCTTGTGTCAAAATAAAAAATAAAAGGGATACAGTGAGTGGTTAAGTGCGCTGGGTCCAATCCCCAGTACCAAAAGAGAAAAGAAAAGAAAAGAACAAATTGTGGAGGTAAATAGGCACCTCCAGCTCAAACTGAAATGAACTATCAAAATTTCTGGCTTAAATAAAAAATTAATAACACTTCCCTAGGTAAACATCACATTTAAAAGTGAGTTCATTTCATTTTTAGATAATTAGGTTAGTAAAAACTAAATTTGCAGCCTGAACTGTTTTGCATTACCTTGGAATTGTAGAAATTATGCAACCTAATGCCTAATGGAATTAAACAGGAATTTGTATTTTTCTCAAATTTTTGTAAAATGAATGGAACCCTACTCTATGTTTTCCAAATTTTTTTACAAATCCATTTCTCAAAGGTACATATGTGGTGGCTGAATTAATGAAAGCAAGTTATTTTTAGGGTGTGTGGGGTTTACCTTACCTCCTTGAATGTTTCCTTTCTCCCAATAGTATACCCAAGCAAAGAAACCAAAATCTTCCCCTTTTTCCTCACTCCCTACCTCCTCCTTCTGCTTTAATCAAAAGGGAGGTCTGTTTTCTCCAATGTCTGCATGTCATTAAGTTTGGAATTCATCTCTGTTTATTGCCTTAATATTAATTCCACCACCTCCCCCAACTTATTTTTTTACAAGTAAAAGTCTTTGAGAGCCATGCATCCAAATGTCATATTTCAAAACATGTTGTGAACTAAAGAGTCAAAATCAAGAGCATCAAAGCCAGGCATTCTGATTGATAGCTCCTTAATTAAGATCTTTAAATATACACAGTCACTTACTGGGTCCAGGCTTTCAGAGGAAAACTCCTGCTTAACTGGTTGAAAATGTGAACAGTGGGGTGTAATTCCCTAAGCTGCAAGGAGCCCCAGATCAGAGAGAATGCAAGAGAAGCTCTAAAGATGCTTGAGTATGAATTTTATCTTTTGCAGATGCTATCAAAACTGCAAGAGGTGAGACCACCAAGACAAGGAGAAACAAATGTTGTTTGTGCTCCAAACTGACACACAGTTTATTTGTCGGTGTTTGGAGTGGTTTGAAAGAAAAGATAGCAAAGGAATAAATAGGTTTATGCACTCGGGCAGGATGTGCAAGCTGGTAAGGGAGAGGTGACTCAAACGGGGTTAGTCAGAAACAGCACAGTCAGTGGAACACAGACTCCGGTTACCCCAGCGGTGACAGACACCATTTTTCCCATGGCTGACACATCGTGCCCAGAGGCCTGTGTCGAAGAGACTCCTCCTTGAAGCTCCCAGCAGCAGGATGTGCTCTCATGGGTGGTCCAGAAATACATGCAGGTCACTTCTCCTCCACCAAATTTCCAACAGCTTTTAATGGGTGGCTCTACACCATGTTGAGGTCTGAGACCTCATTTCTATATTCCCACCATGTTCTCAGTTAACAAGAATGACAAATTGGTATTTTTGATACCACAGCCCCAGTTTGACAAGGAGGAGTCACCCTGAGGTGTAGTTCAGTGACCAATTGAGCAGGAAATTCAGCACAAAACCAGCAAAACAACAACATCAGAGCAGATTTAAGTCCTGACACTGCCAATTAATATTCGTCTGGTTGTGACCTTGGGCTAGAGTTGCCAAGTAAAATACAGAACATCCAGTTCAACGCGAACTGCAGGTAAACAACATTTTTTTTTAACATATATCAGGTAGTAAGAAATAATCCAATTTTTTTTTCTGAAATTCAAACTGATCTGGGTGCCCTATATTTTATTTGCTATATCTGGCAAATATTTTTCCTCCCTATACTTCAATTTCCTCCTTTATTTCCAAGTGGATAGCAATGCCTTTCTCAAAGGGTGACTGAGGATCAACTAAGATTACCTCACCTCAGTACAGTGTCCATACACTTGACTGTAAGAGATCGTGATCATGATAAAGAACTCTTAATTACTCCTCTCTTTCCTCGTGGTCTTTGTCTGCCTTTTAGCTGTTTCTAAATGTTAAACTTTTTCATAAAGGCCATTCATTGTATGTTTTCCTCCCGGTTGACCATTTCTTTGCTCATCTTAGAAATCATAAGGAACTCGGGGTCAGATGTAGAAAAGGAAAGTGGGGTTTAAAAGTGGCCGCTGTGACTCCTCAATCTCAAGGCTCATCTGGTGCTGCTGCCCTTCCCTCTCTAGCTGTCAAACAGTATTCTTTATTTCTCAGCCAGAAGGTATGACCAGGGCAGGCATAGTGTACCTCTATCTAATGCCCCTGCTTTCTAAAGAACTGAGGAAGGAAATACTGTTGACCTAAGAGTACCGGTTCAGAAGTCAGAAGCAGAAATAGGCACTGACTTTGTTTAGTCCACTCATCCGGTACCTTTAGGCCAGGGAGTCCCATTAACCACAGTCGGCAAAAATATGCTTCGGAATAGCTCCTGCTGCATTTGTATGCCATTCTGCTGCATCCAACATAATGTCTAACTGCATATGTGCATCAATAATCTTTTATTATGTCATAATGCATTTTAGTGTGCGGATGGCTATTATCTTTTAGAGGCCCCCATTTAGATTTATGGAGCAAAAGAGAAAAGTTTTTAAAAAATGTATCTCTAATTAATCTGAGTGCATTTGTATGCCTATTAAAATTCACCTGTCCAGGATTTTCCATTTATCATGATTACAAGGGAACAGCCATACTGAGAAAGGGGGCTGCCTTTACATTCAATGTGAAATGATGATTTATTATCCAGGATGTTTTTTGTAATGGTTTAGATCTAATGGACAGTTCTGTATGATAAACCCTCCACCTACACTGTGAAGTTAGACATGTTGTCTTTTAGTGTAGGATGTGTCCCAGTGAAGCCTTAGAGATGTTCATCATGCACTGGGGACATGCTGACCTCATGGATCCTGGGGACCATCCCTTAGGTAGTCAACAAATGGGCAATCCCTCTCTGGACTGCAGATGCCAGGGCCATTGGTCTCCAGGACAGCAGCCTGAATCCATCTATGGAGTTTGACACCACTACGGGATGGTCCAGGGGTAAGTGCTCCCTTGGAGTCATATGGTATGTCACTGGGCAAGGGCATGCCAGGAAGCTGAGGTAGCCATCTCGTGGGTTCTTGAAATCATATAAGAAATATTTTAACATGTCACTCAGAGTAGCAGGCATGAGTTTATTAAAAGGGATAAGAAAAGGGAAAGGGCACTATTCTTAAGAGAGAGAGAGTGGGTTCTCTCAGAGAGAGGATGGCTTGACCATCCTCTCCTATTCTCCAGTTCTATTGGAGGTCCAAGGGAAGTTTCCAGGTAGTCCTTCCCAGGTCCTCTTTTTGATTTTTGACTGACAGCAGGATGACATCAGACTTTAAAGTCCCCATTGTGCATAACAACTCTAGGTCATTTTGGTCCATGCTGACTGGCTCTAATTGGAACCTGTTCTTACAGATTTTATGGTTAGGGGGAATTATTCTTATCTCCCTGAGTTCTGAGATCTGTGCTATGTAAGAGTTAAAAAAGATTTCCCCTTCAGAGTAACCTGTTTTCTTCTTATCAGCATTTTGGGCCTAAATTTCTCCTGCAGATAACAGGTAGTTTGCTGAGGAAACTTCTTGTTGACTACCTACAGGAAATTTTTAGAAGAAAGCATGTGGGTGGAGAGTCAGCAAATGAATCCAGTTTATAGAACTATTCCCTTAACCTCATGTTTCCACTGCTCACATCTGTCTGTTACCTACCAGTTGGCACCCCTTGCTCTGGGGAGAAGTGCTCCTCCCTTTTATGAGTACAAGCAGTACAAACTTGACCTGGGGCCTTCCTCCCATATGAACCTAGGGAACAATTTTTCTATTCAATCCAGACCGGAGGACAGCATTGCCACACACACACCCCCCAACCTGCAGTCCCCACAATTGGAAAAAAGGAACCTGATACTAGATTAAGCAAAGCTACCAAGATAATTCTAGTGAGAGGCACTGGGCTCCTGGGAAGACCTGCCCCCCAAGGTAAGACATCTGACTGCACTGACATTCTCATTCTCTATCCAGATCTCTGTAGAATTCTAAATCCCCCTGATAAACACAGCAAGGTCAGGGTGGGCAGAGGAAAGGGCCTGGAGCTGGCCACCCGCCCAGTTCCACTGGCCCAGTAGAGGAGTTTCTTGGAGGGGTGGCCTCACTTTTTTCTGGCTGTTAGTTCTCCCAAGTGAGATTGCAGGGGTGCATTCTCAGTAATTACAGCCTGAGGAGTGTGTGAGTCTTGCTCCTCACACTCCATCCACAATGAGTTCCTCATGGCTGGATTTCTGTGAAAATCAGGATTCTCTCAACCCCAGGGAGCACAGGCTGGATCACCAAGAAAGGCAGAAAGTGCAGAACATTCTAGCTTCAATTGTGGCCCCCACCAAGGGTGACTCCAGAGGACCAAGCACCCAACTCCCAACTCAAGTTCAGTTCATGGTAATTTCTACCAATGACTCTGAGCCACTTTGAAGCGGGAAGATTTCCTAAAGAGGGGAAAATGTAGAAATCCCTCTTGGGGTCTGAGATAATTGAGGTAGAGATGGAGAAAATTTGGGTCAATAAAAAAAAACTTTAAATAACATAAATCATCAGATGGAGAAAGTTTCTCCCCTTTTGAAGTTCTTATAGCTGCATCAAGGATCTCAGCTGGGTGCTAGTGAGTCCTTAGCAGCTCTTTAGCACTTGCTAAATGAGAGAGAGAAAGAGAGATTAAGTCCACTTAAGAAACTTACTAAGTAAATCACTGAGCTAATAGGACAGAGTGGTAAACTCTGAAGTTACTGAGCTCTGGGAATTATCTATCTGATGAAAAATCATGAGTTCTGACCCTGGACCTTTCCTTGAAAACTCTGACCCAGAATCAGGAAGTGCTGGTGAGGAATGGGAGGGGTAAAAGCAAAGGGGATGACTATAATCTGCTAGAGGGCCACCTCCACTGAGCCATTGTCAGGAAGGGGGTTTGGGGGGAAACCAGAAG